TAAATAATAAAATACCTAAATATAAAACTTGTAATTAATCTTAATAATTTATTTACCAGGAGTCGGAGCAAACCAAAAATCCCGAAAATGTAATAATAATACCTTTAAAATATTAAATGTTATTATTAATTTAATTAATATTTCAGAAAAACGGCGAAAGTTCAACCAGAACTGAAGGGGTAATAAAATTTATTATTAATACTAAAATAATTATTTTAATTATAATTAAATATCAGAAAATTATTCATCTTTTTTTAACAGAAACCGGAGCAAACTGAGCCAGGAAAGGTAATATTAATGTTAATAAAATATTGAATTATTAAAAACATAAATCATTTTTACAGGCTGCCCAAGATATTCTTAATGTGAGTGTAACTGAAACTATTTTAATTTTTATTGGCAAAAAAATGGAAATGTTTACTTGTAATTATTTCTTTCAAAAATTATCATGTTTTGTACAAATGTAATGTAAATGCATTAATTATGAAAAAGCTGCATTAAAATAAAAGTTTTTAAAAAATGACTCTTATTGCTCACTAAATTATTTAAAATTTCTTTGATTGAAAAATGGTTGTTTTTATTTTTCTTTTTTAATCTTTTAACTTGTTGTAATTTGCATTTAATTTTTTTCCGTAATTTTATTATTTTACAGGACATTTCTTTGTTATTTTTTCTCAAACAAGTTTTTTCTGGTGATGGCATATTTAAATATCGGTCACTAAGTACAGAGTTTGGTCTTTCTGGGCTATCTAAATTATCTACAAAATTTTCATTCTCAATATTTTGCCTGTTAATCTCATAGGTTTTTACATTTGTTTCCCTTAAGACACTAAAATTTTCTTCAGTATCTGCAAATTTAAAAAATATTAAATTAAAAAAAAATTAAAACCAATCATGTTATCAAGTTATAGTCAAGAGTAGATATGCAAATTTAAAAAAATTTAAATTTGTCTGTGGTATATTTTTTGTTTGACAGGTAAAAATTTTACACGTATTATTATTTTTTAATATTAAATCATTGAGTATCTTAGGGGCCGTCCATAAATGATGTCACACGTTTTTTTGATATTTTTAAAATATTATGCACTCTTACAATTATCCAATTAAAACTAGCGATTTAATTTAAATATTTAATAATTGCATAACTAAAAAAAAAGGTTTTTACAATTTTTTTTTATATATTTTACTGTTTTGTTGCAATAAACGTTCAATTTCTAATATAACCTTTGACGTATACATTTATGTTCCCTTAATTAATATATCCTTAAAGGTTGCCATGAAACTTAGATCTATTAAAAATTTATTTGACGTTTGAATTGTCATTTTCAGTATACGTATTCTATAATTTTTGTTTAGTTTTTTAAAGTGTTTTTTATAAACAAAAATGAAAAATTGTACTAAAAGTTACAAAGAAATTCATGAAATTTAACTAAGGACCGGTTTATTCATCTTTAGTAAAGTTTATCGGGCCTAATCTTTAATCTGATTTAAAAAGTTATGGTAATATTTAAATAAAATCGCAAGTTTTAATTGGAGAATTGAAAGTGTGCATACATATTTTTAATAAACATACAATTAAAACAAAATTAACCGTCAAGTTTTTTTTATTTTGCTCTTAAAATTTATGTTATGACCTAATTAACAAGAATATAAAAAAAATTAGGTTTCACAGAAAGTCCAAAAATCACCTCTCAGAACAGCACCATGCATCTGTCACCTGTAATCTCTCACCTGCCATTTATCATCTGTCACCTGTCATTTGTCATCTGCCACCTGTCATATATCACCTACCATATGTCATCTGTTAACTTGACATCTGTCACTTGACATATGTCACCTGTTCACTTGACATCTGTCAAAGTGTTGTTGGATACTTTGTTGGGTTCCCCTGTATACGACGACCCCTTCCTCCTCCCTAAGTGTGTGACATCATTTATGAACGGCCCTTATTACGTTAGATAATTATGATTTTTCTAAACTAATCGATTTTTTTAGAATTGTTTGTAAATAAAATAAGATTAAACAAATCCCTAATTTTTGTTGGCAAAATATCCAATGATGAATTTCAAGAAATCTTATACTTTTTTATGCAAATTTAATTTAAAAAAAGGTAGTTTTTTTGGAATATATTAAATAATAAATAAATTTAAGTTTTTCTACTTAAAAATTAACTAACTAGGTATTTAAAAGTATTAAATTAAAAGACAAATTTTAAAAACACTAACATTTTGCCGATTTTTTTTCTCATATATACATATATATATATATATATATATATATATATATTTTATTCTTTACAAAAATTAAATTATTTTTTAATATTTCTCAAGCAGCTCCAAAATTGTAATATATATACCCCAGAGTTTTCAAATTTTTGTCATTTTCAACAACATAATGACCATTTAATTAACAACACGTAAGTGCCTTATTTTCAAATTCTATGACTACTATTTAGCAATAACTTTTTTATTTTTAATGCAACGCCCTGTACCTTTTCATTGATATAACCATTTCCTATACCATACCTAAAGTTAATAATAACAAAGATATTGTACAATTCCTATTATGTATTTCAAATTTTTAAATATTACTTTTTAAATTAATAAACAATCGCTTCTGTTAAAACCGGAAGAGGAATTTTGTTCAAAATAATTTTAAAAAATTATTAATATTCTTTTAAAACCCCGGGGGTTTAAATTTTAAACCCCCTTTTTAAATTAATAAACAATCGGTTCTGTTAAAACCGGAAGAGGAATTTTGTTCAAAATAATTTTAAAAAATTATTAATATTCTTTTAAAACCCCGGGGGTTTAAATTTTAAACCCCCAAACCCCCCGTGCGCACGGGTGTGTCTATTTCAAAACTAAAACAAAATTTGGTTGCCGATTAGTATGTAGCATTTTTTTAAATTAAATCACCAAACACAAAATATTAAGCAACACATTTGAATAGTTTGAACATTTAAATATAAATAAATAAGAAAGTTTAGCATTAAAACAATTGAAAAATATAAACATCAAAAAACATTAAGCAAATACCGTTAAGTGAATGCCTATTGCAAGATTTTTGAAAATAACAATGTCATTTTAAGATAAACAAAACAAATCAAATTATATTGTTTTTTTTGTAGTTTTATCTTATTTTCACGCACCTGTAATGATTTATTTACATAAAGAATATAAAATTAATTGTTTAATGCGTTTAAAGAATTAATTATTAAAAAAGGCTTGTAAAAATGTCCTTCGGCAAAAAATGTTTTTCACAAATACATTTAAATTTTAGATCATTATAATCTAAATCCAATAAAAGTTGATTTCCGGAATTTTTCTTCCAAATTTCACACCGTTCGGTGTCTTTTATTGGAAATTGGAACAATACAAAGCTGGTTTTGCCTTTTTTTAAAAAACATTTGTTATATAAACAAGTATTTGTAGGTAAATTATTCATTTTCGCTAACGAATTAAGAAAATCACCTACTTCAGCAATTGCTTTGTGCAAACTGAATTAAATTTAATCTAGTCGACCTTCACGATGCATGCGACCGGCGCGGCATAGAAAGTGGGGATGCTGATGACGACGCGTTTCTTACTGTCTCACTCTAACGGTCTCACTCTAATTTAGAATTTAAATCTCAAGAGAAGATCGACGGTGGCGCCTCTAACAACCAGGATCGATTTTGGAGTTATTTTAAATACATTAGACCACGCCTCTTCCCCACTTCTTTACTCAATGATATAAGTTTAATTAAAATTAATAACGTAGTGCCATTTATAGATTCCCGTACCGTAAGGACGGCATTCCTTCTTCCCGTAGAAGTTTTTAAGTTTTATCTTTCACCGTAAAGGTTTTTGACATGACCAATCACAGTACTTGTTATGGACATGCGCTGTAGGGTGACAGCGCGTAGGCACAAAATATTTAAAATACATGATTGTTTAGTATTATTTAAGATATATCTATAGGTGTTCAGTTTATTAAATAATTTGTGTCTCTAAATAGGATATTTAGATATTGTTTATGATCAATGTCTTTTATTTTTAGAAACGTTGCTTTGTAAAACCCCGTAGTTTCCTGGTCTTGGTAAAGTGGGCGAGTCTTCCTTTGTTCGATGTTTTTTTCATTATACTGCCCTACTATGGAGAAAGGCAGTAACTACGAAAAAATTCTAAACGCGTTTTCTTGTGCTATGATAAAGCTATGGACATTTGGTATCTTAATTCAACAAAGAAATGCAGTAAACTATCTTATAAGTTAAATAAATCAGTTAAATACCTACTGCTTTTTATAAAAATGTAGTTTATGCTAATTTCCCACAAATTTCTTCTTTAGCAGTTACTGCATTTCTCCATAGTTGAGCAGTATACAACAAGCTGCCTGGGAAATTAAAATTGTGATCACTGCACTAATATATAAATGTTTATCTTTCATATTTACACACAATGGGTAAAACGCAGAATATAAACAAAAACAAATGTCAACCATTTTAGGTGTCATCGCGCATGGTTACGGAATTTTACACTGAAATTTATAAATTGACTTTTTACAAGACGCACAAATCGTACGGGCACGACTACGGGAGGAAGGAAGGAAGGCAATCTATAATTCAGGCTTTAAACTCATTTTCATAAAATTATTTTATTTTCTAAAAAACTGAAAAGTTTTGTATAATATGACTGAAAAGTATTTAAAAAAATCATTTTGATTTCAATATTAAAAATATTTCGAAACCAAACATTTTTTAAAGTGGGAATTTTAAAAATAAGTAAGTTTTACATATAAAACACATTAATCTACATTTTTATCCATTTTGTTTATATATTATATTTTGAGTTACTATCAATCACTATCTTTTGTTCTTATAACGATTTAAAATTCCAATATGGCTGCCATAAAAAACAAAAGATGGTGTTGGAAACTCAAAAAGAAGGATACTTGTTGCATCCTGTATAAAAGCAAATTTATACATAAAAAGGCATGTTCTAATTTTTATATTTTTTCAGTTGTGGTTATGAATAACACTTCAGCCCCCCAGCCTATGGGTAAGTTTACCTAAGAATATTCACATTTTCTTCGAGTACCTATATTATCCCAAATTGTAAATTATGATTTCGTTTTTAAAAACACACAAAAAATGGGCGATAGATTTTATTTATCAATACCTATAGTGTTCTTTGCCTTAATACAACGACCTTTTCAGCTATTTTATTTTATGCTTTTTTAACAACTTGACAGGTGTGACCAAGCCCGCCTAAGCTATTAATAAAAATAAAAAATATATTTTTTTTAATGGCAACAGCCCCTTTGTTATTTTTTACTAAAAAAATACTTTTTACAAATATTTATTCCAACGTCTCACTGTGTCGTATTTGACCAGTAGGTGACCAAAAGTCGATTTCTGAAGTTGCCCTTACAGCAAAAAAATATACATAAAATTGATCCTTATGCTTTTATTGACAATGTACAACCATTTGTTTATTTATAAAATATTAAAAAGGACCGTGACGTATAAAATTTTAAAACAATGCACAAACACATTTTTTTATATAAATAACTCGCGCTTGGTAAATATGCGATTAAAACTATAAATTATAATTAACAGGAGTTATATTTGGTAGATTGCTTTAAAATAAATGTCTTTTAAGGTATAACGTTAAAAATTAAAAAAATATTTTATTTTATATATAGTAATAGCCGTCCAAATTTTGTCATTTTTTTAACGTGCCTTCAAGCAAACTTTTTGCAAATAGTAATGGTGCCCCAGGTTGCCCCAATTTCTTTTGTGTGTGGAAGTGTTTGTTAATATATGAATAATGGTCGATATTAAGGATTTTGACGGGAAATGTTGAGAAACTTGGCTACACTGATTTTATGTCAAAAAATGTGTATTAGAGCTCATTTTTTTAACTTTTTTTAAATCTGGCGCCTTAAAATTAATTAAAAACATAAAAATAATAAATATATATTAATTTAAAACTAATTTGGTAATTTGAAAAAAAAAAATGTCATGTTGCTTTGACGCAAATACTCGAATATATATTTTTTTACTTTTGTCTTTAGTTTTTCTAAAAAAACTTATTCTATATAAATATATATATATATATATATATATATATATAGGGTTACCAGAAAAAATTGAACACGCTGTATAAATTAAATTACAATATTAAAAAATATGTATTAATTCAAATATTTTTGTTCCCTACATTTTCATGACTACAGTTGTTTCTGAGATAGGCATATGGGTTATCTTACGTGGTTCACCCTGTACTTAGCTTCTTTTAATCCTAACTAAAAATGATCTTTTTGTATAACAAAAAAGCATTTTCAATATGTTTTTTAACAAAAATATTTTTGGTCACCTAATCACTCTGTTTACGACATAGTGCGTCGCGTTAAAATTATCAAATTATAAACCACTTTTTGTAGTAAAAAAATACAAAACACAAAATAATGATATAATGAACTTAAAAAGCATAAATAAAAAAATTGTTCAACAATAAGTTTTATCCGAAATCGGCAGTAAAGTAGTCAACAATCGGCATTAAAGTAGAACTTTACTGCCGATTTAATACAAGTATTGTATGCAACCCATTATACATTTTAAGATGTGTCTACTGCTCCTCAGCAGCAACTAAATAATATTTAATTAAAAGCACCGCTGTGGAGGTCGATTGGGCCCTTTCATAAAATGTTGTTTAATAAAAGTAATAAGTTAATTTTTTTAATTAAATTAAAAAATCGCCGCGGCGGGCAAATATATCATAACCGTCGCAACAAACAGTATACATAGACATTTCCTACATTCAAATGACATTTGATTTGATCATTAAATGACATTTGATTTGATCATCAATATTAATTATTAGTATTATTAAATGCGATTTCGGATAAAATTAAATATGCACCTCGGCATTAAAGTCATTTTTATCACTCATATTCATAATAAAAAATACGACTTTACTGCCTTGATATATAAATAACTATTATTCTTTTGAAATTTTTCTCGCGAATTATATTGGCATTATTGAACAATTTTAATAGTCAATGCTGATTAGTTTTAATATTTAAAAAAACCCTGTACATATATTTGAAAAGGATAAAACCAAAAGGGTTGCTAATATTATAAAATATATCAGTTAAAATCAAAGACAGTATTGCTACCGATATTTTTTTATTCAGAAGAATAAATTATAAATTAAAAAATAATAATAATTATTTGTTAACTTATTTTCTTAATTTTTAGTGCATCCACAAGCAGAATATCCATCAGCTCCAAGTAAGTATTCGTATGAAAATGAAATTTGAATTTATTTCGGTACTTAGGTACTTATTTTTAGGGCCTTATGATTATGGTTTAGGACAACACATGCATCAAAGTATGTTAAATATAGTCATATGATTTTTATAACAAATTAAAAAATCGATGCAGAATCTGTTCACTTTTTAAAAATAATTCGACCATTTTAAAATATGTATTTTTAATCTTATCTTATTTAATTTATAACTTTTAGGTGGTCCTTCACATGCTTATGGTTTTATGAGTCCGGGTAAATATAGCTAATTTTTTAAAAACAAAATACTTATACTATAATTTTTTTTATATAGATCCCCACTCTGGATCAAGGCACTTGCCTCCACAGTACACAGGTAAACTCACAAATTTATTGCTATGCTAAAACAACGTTGTGGTTTTTCTATGGTTGTGTCATAGAAAATATGTCAAAATACTATATTTCATTTTTCGATTGTCCAAAAAAGTCATAACTGGCACTAACAACATTATTTCAGCCTTACATTTAATAATTATAAATAAATACCCAAGCAGCATTTTTGGTTCCAAAAACCATTACCAAAGTGGTGATAACTTTAAATTACTTAAGTATACTAAACAGCTACTTTAATTTTTACATAAAAGTAATTCTAACTTTTAAATAGCAATATTTTGTACCAGAAACTTCATTCTTTTCTTAAATGGTTACTATAAAGTAATAAACATTTAAGTTAAACTTGGTTGCTCCCAAGAAGACTTTGCAACTTTAAAAAAGGTGTTATAAGTAAAAAAACTTTCAAGTAAATTTAATTTGTAGCAGTTACTTTCGGTTGCTACCTAAAGATTACATTATAATTATTTTTACTTTGTAGTCCCTTTGCATGTTAAAATCTCGAAACTGGAACATGAGTTAAAAACTACAAAGTTAATAACTTAACTTATTGTTTTTGTATTTGTTTATGGTACTAACCAAAACTACCTTAAAGTAAATTAAGGTGGAAAAAACTTTAAAGTAGCGAAAACTACTTCAAAGGAAAGTACAATAGCACGTGTTAATGTAACTAATAAATTATTTTAATTGTTTGTAAATGGTTGTTTACTTTTTAATAAATAGTAATTTTGTTGGTAATAGACGGTATTAAGAATTAAATAAAGAATTAATAATAAATATAAAGATTTTATTATTTATAAACATTATTAAATAAATATTGAATTGATGAAGCGCATTTATTTTACAAAAACTAAGTTCATAGGTTCAACAGTAAAATTTAAAGGGTTTATAAATTTACCTGCCTAATTAAACATTATATTGTTATTCTGGAAATTATAAACTACCAGTACATATTTAATAAACGACGACATTGAAAAGCCAAGTCCGTAGTGGTTCCATTTAAAAAAGGATGGATAGTATAATCCAATATAAGTTTGACAAAGACAGTTAATATAGAAGTAAAAACAAATAAATAAAAGTAATTATAACGCTTTAGCAACGATATTGAAACGTTCTAGTAACGTAGCAGCTACGTTCCAAACAGTAGCAGGGTTTATAGCTAGTGAAATATTTGTTACCTTTTTGGAACTCAATAATTGTTTCCCACTTTAGTCGTAACCTAGTAATGAAAGAGTAATATAAAGAGACCGGTGATTGTCGCAAAACACTTTAAAGTTTCTTCAAAAGTCCCATATACGTAACAAATACTTAACTTGTTGCTTGGGTAATTTTTAAATATTCGTTTAAACTAATGCTTACAATTATTTTTATTAAAATTTTCAACTAACTATTAAAGGCAGAACCAGATGAAGAAGCGGGTGTAAAAAAGTCTGCAGAACTTCCGCATTTGCAGAAGCAGAAGCAGAAGTCCGTTGCAACGCTAATTTTGATGTATAGGTACCTTTAAAAAACTGTGTCAGTTTTTGTTCCCGATCTACATCATCATGATGATCATAATCATAATCTCCAACATCTATAAATTTTAATCTTTTTTTTCTATTTTTTAGCAACCGTACACGAAAAATGGTAGGATGGGGTCACAACAACGGTTTTGTTCATCCCTCCTTTGAAGAGAATAAAATAAAAAATGTTAAATAATAAATATTTTAATTTGTTCACCATTGAAATAAAATATTGTTATAAAAAAATTAAAATCTTTAATTATACCTTATGCCTTTTTAAATAAACAATTTTTGTCCCAATATGGCCCACGTGTTATACCTTCAATATTTTTACTTATTTCCATATTAATATTGAATGGGACATTTAATTTTCATTTTAGGTGACCTTACTGAGGTCCTAAGGACTACTTCGATTATTACATATTACATAGCTGATACCCTGATAGCACAGTTTATTCTAAGAATGTTTTTTAAACCTTTCAGTGGGAATATTCTTAGGATCATGCTATATTTCTTCTAAAGAACATGCTTAAAAGAAATATGGCATAATCCTAAGGCCTTTGGCAGGTCTTTAGAAGGTGCAAAGTTTAGTAGTAAAAATTAATCCACTCTAAACATATGCTTAGAATGTTGAGAAAGTAATTGCTATAGAAAGTTCATTTAGGAATATTCCTGGAACATTCTGTTAAGCATATTCAGTTCAGTTAGGTACCTATATAATAGTAAAATATACCATAATCTACTTATAAAGGTACCTATACTTAAGTATAGGTATATGTAAAAGCCGGATAATTTAGATTTTGGTTGTGTTTTTAACTTAGTATTTAATACTAATTAGTATTAAATACTAAGTAAAAAACACAACCAAAATCTAAATTATCCGGCTTTTACATAAAATCTTCTATCCAACTTAAATACAATGAAAAATGTTTTTTTATGAAGAACTATTTGGTTTTTTCTTTTATGAAGAATTATTTTATAAGGAAATATTTTGTTTTTTTATATTTTATTTTATGTTAAAAATAAATATTTATTAATTTGTATACCGATTTTTATATCTGAATTAACATTTTTATGTATAATAATCCTAACTATCTTCAACTTCAATCTAATCTGACTTATCCCACAAAATTTTCCAATTTTACTTTTTATGAAATAATGTCATACAACTTATGGTTTAGAGGTCAAATTGTTTATTTAATATTTTTAAATAAATATATATTAATATGTCGCAAATTTTTCTAAGGGGACGACAAATACATCATATTATGACAGTGAGGCGTATTTGTCGCCTCCTGAAGAATTTTACGAATGTAGAATCCAACATATTAAACCGTGGGTATCTGACATATTTGGAAATATTCTCAAAAGCTTCCTAGAAGCTCCATAAGAAACCTTCTAAGAACATTCCAAAAACGTATTCTTAAAATGTTCTTAGAATGCTTTTTAGGAAGGTTTTAAGAAGCTTCTAAGAATCTAATTGCATCATTAAAAGGGTATCTATTGAATGTTTTAAAAGTCCCTAAGAACATTCTTAGCAATAAGGGAAGGTTCTAAGAATATTCCATTATTCCGGGTCATATCTTCTTAGAATAAAATTTTGCTATCAGGGTAACTGTATCTTTTAAGAAGGTTTTAAACGTATTAATAATTATAATTTCAGAGTATCGTAAAAGTTATGAAACAAAACTTTAAACAAAATTTTAAAAAACAATTTTTAAAATCGCTATTTGTTTTAGAATTTGTGAAGCCAACATTTTTATTAAATTTAAGAAAAGCTTTTCTATGTTCAACTTTTGCCTTGAGATATAAATGAGCCTAATGAGCTTACCTTGAGATCTGCAATGTTGCTGCAAGCACGGGTTAAATTTGATGTAACCTGGGTTGCATATATTGATTATCTATTTTACAAAGGTTATTTACCAAAATAAAGACCTCGAGATAAAAGCTGTTAGTGGCAAATTTATTTTTTGGAGGAAGAAATGTTTTACGCCATTTTTTAATCTTGCAAATTAAAAGTATTTCTACTTTATATAAAAACATCTTATAAAACGTAATTATCAAAACAATATCTTATTTTTGATCATACAAAATTCACGTGGCTTAAAATTTCGGTCTACAAGATATCTTGTAAATAAATGTTATGGGTGATTCTTCAAAAGTTGGACAACTTGATGTCATCAGTCCATAGAGTAGATATTTTAATATTTTTTGTAAATATTTTAGTATATTACAAAAGATCCAGGTTCTTTTAACTTGTCCACCCAATTTTAATATATTTTTTCAAATCACGTTTGTAGAAAAACATAATAAATATTCAAAACATCAGTACCTTGGCGTGTCACAACTCCTGAATCAAATATTTGAGTGATTTTATTTTAAAATATATTCAATTTATCTTAAATTTTTTAATTTCACTACAAACTATAAAACATTAAATAATGTATTTTTCATATTTTATCATAGATTCGAATAATAGCAATTTTTAGAAAATTGATAATCTTTGTTCTCACTTTTACCCGTAAGTTCTGTGTCCAATGTTAAAATTCAAAATTCCTACGAAATATTGAAGTTTAAACGTCAAGTCCTCGTTTTAACTCAAGTGTTGATAAAAAATTACCTACAGAGCCCGCCCTTTGCACGACAGTCATCTTGAAAACAATGCAAGCGGCGAAGTTGTGGTGAATGCACGTATAGTTCCAGACAAAATTTCAGTACTGTGGTGAGTATAACTATAGTTATTTTCTTACGTATATATATTTCATTGTAATTTATATAAGGCTTTATGTGATTTGTTGATAAGTAGCATCCACTAATAAAAAATATCAGTAAAATACCTCATTCCGAATTATAATCTCAAATTTGTATCCCATTCATCAGTACCGTGTCGTCAGTTCCATGTTCGATGTTTCGGTTTATTTTTTTCGCAAATTTCAATGTAAATTCTGCTTGCGCAGAACTAGTTCATTTAATGTCATTATAAACTCATATAAATATGGTGTGGGTCCCATATCTAATAATTGAGATATACCCAAAATCCACTAGCCGTCACTGATGTGTGGTATTATTTGATTTTAAGATATTTAATGTATAATATGCACAAATTTGCAATAAATCTTATATTTTCCAATAAATTATGTATTTAATTAGTACCACGGTATACTCGTCACTTCCCTTGCATTCAAATTTAGAAAACACAGATATTTCAGAAACTGTTTGAAAAAGTGACTGGCCCGGTCTGGAACAGTATATTTATTATATTATTTATGTTCTTATAACAAAATACTGTTTAATTTTCTCCGAAAACTATATAAACAAAATGAGGTCAAAAGTTTATCTTTTTTGTAAAAATATTTTTGTCTAACTAATATAAAATCTTTGAATTTAAATTTAGTTCAAGCTCAATAAATATTTGAATTAGGATTAACCCGGTCTATAAAACATAGGTACTAAAAATTACCAAAAACAATACCATCGTAAAGCC